GTGTACCGCACCAGATTCGTATCGTTGTCCACTATCTGAAAGGAGTTGGCATTAAAAACAAGAGTGCAATTATTATCTTTGGTAAAGCGGTGAACGGACAGTAAGTTTGAAGTAAGGGAGGGAACATGATTAAGGGAGTGGAGGTGAAATTTACCATTCGGGGTGTGAATTGAGCCTGAACCTGTGTGAGTGATGGGTAAAGTATGACCATTACCTACAGTAATAGTTTCAATGCCATGGTAGGGAGTCGGAGTTTGCAGCTGTGAAAGATCATGTGTAACATGAGTATTAGCACCTGTATCAAGGTACCAATCACCAGTTTGGTTGCTGGTGGTTGCATGCATAACACGAGAATTGGTAGCCGAGTTGCTCTCAGTAGAAGAATCATCATAACGGTACCAGCAGGTAGCAGCATAGTGGCCACGCTTTGAACAGATCTGACATACTGGAAGATTGCGTGAAGGTCCGCGGCCTCCCCCCTTCTGTATCTTCGACCAGATCCAGATCCTCGCCCAAAAAACGGTCGACCGTTCGGTCCTCCTCGACCGCGGCCTCGACCGCTGTTTGTATACAGTGCAGAGTGAGAAACTCCGGAGGTGGAATCTGCAATACTCAATTTTTGCTCGATTTCAAGATTTATTTCTTCAGAGGTTAGCCACCCAGAGAGTTGATTGAGACTTATATTCTCATTGTTCATCCGTATATTTTGCTTCAAGGAGGAATATTCATGAGGGAGGCCTCGGATAACAGCATTCACCACATCTCTCTCAGGAATAACCTCGTTGAGAGCATCCAAATCGGTGAGGATAGTGGCAACTTCATCAAGGTACTGGGTGATAGTTTTTGTACCTTTTCGGAGTGTGTGAAGTTTGTCCCGTAGTTGATAGATGTGAGCGGTAGAAACAGAATTATACCGGGCAGCGAGAGCGTTCCATAGATCGGCAGATGTGGTGAAGTTGCGGACATGCTTGTGAACAGACGGACTGATGACGGCAAGAAGGCATGCACGGATCTGAGTATCAATCACAATCCATGTTTGGAATTCTGGGTTAGGGTTTTCCTTGCCATCCTTGGATAGGATTTTTGGAGGCGCAGCTTCATGACCATCGATCCAACCAA